TAAAAATCGGTAAAATGTATTTACCATTCTGAAAATTTTAGATAATAATGATGAATATTATAAAATATGCAGGCATTTTACGTATTTTATTCATGTGTATTACATCCATCCATTATCAATATAGTGTACCTACATAATTAATGTATTACATATACTACTATACAATTTACATATAATAATTAATAGTATACCTACTTCTTATTACATTCGGCATTCGTTATAGACTGAATTTGTCGTTAAATTTTGAAAAAGTAACAATTCATTACGCATTACTTTTTGAATGAAAAAGTAACATAACGTGATAAAAATAATGTCGGGAAACGCGAATTATGTAATTTAAATAAAAATATTTAATGTAATAAGTAGCCAAGTAGGTAACGTAATTAGTTTCTTATCGAAAGTAATTTACCTAACACTGGATAGTTGTTAGCTCGTAGATCTGATGATCAAGCCAGAATTAAAGGGAGGAAGACCCTAGGCTAACAGTGGTATCACAGAATAACCTAACCTGGTGGTATTTATAGTCACGCGCGATCACATCTATAATTATCATAATATGAAGAAAAACCAAGTTCGGAGGAAAGGAAATTACTATTTTACTAGTTTCAAAAATTATATGTAATAGTCTAAAGTAAATTATGGTTCATCGATACTCAGTAAATCTAACTTCGTACACATTCCCATTTCCCAATACCCCTAACATTTAGAAATTAACCATCTATGCTGCACGGCTGCACCTGAAGTAAAATCCTGGGACCGCCTATGCATATTGGCCTATGTAAATATATTAAAAGTGCATATGCAATATACATCTTAATATTATATGTACTATATGTATTAGGTGGCGTTGTGTGAAACGAATAACTACCGTGGTTAGCCTATGTGATTTTGACGAAGAATTTTTTGGTCCATAATAATAATAAATAATAATTTCGCTTTTTCGAAATAATGCACTTTACTTAGTACACACTCATGCCTACGTTATACCAACGTTTTAATTATCACATCATCACATGATAAAAAAATCGTCTCACGCGACCTCGTATTGTAAGCATTTAGCATATTGTATGTTGTTAACAATAATTGTATTATTCGCCGCGTCACATCAGCTGCATAGAGTTTCCCTAAAAAAAACTAATAGCGATCCCAAACTACAGGAAATTAAATGAGCAGCCCTTTCTCGGGACGACGTAACACCGACCTAGATTTGTTATAATTTTTTTTTCTTTCGTCGCTTACATATTATTATTATTTAATAAGATCACGTGCCCGGATCGTGTTGGTGGCTGCGATTTAATACATTCTGTATGAATGATTGCTTTAACTTAGTTTACTGTATAGATTGTATAATATATGATTTGATATGTCGTCTACGGTCTTGGTTTCCTATTTAGAAATTATTAACGGCAAAATCGTAAGTTTATAATTATTACTTTTAATTTTACATAAGAGATTATTTTGATTTTGAATTTCCTAAATCAATTATTTTTATTTAGATATAATAATGATAATAATAACAATAGATATATCCGTTAAATTTAAAGTAAACTTGATTACGAAACTTTGGTACGTGATCATACTTAGTAAAAAGCTGCGTTTTTAAATTATAATATAAAATAATTTTTAAAAATGAGCTCACAAACTAAATACTAGGAGCTTACAAGAGAATATTATCAACTATTAATTAATCAATTACATAGGTAGTTGTATAATAATTGTATGTATTTTAATCGGGACGTATTTTGACAATCACTAATGATATTCACATTAATTAAATGGAATACTTGTAATATTGTTTGTTCTATTAAAATGCATGCTCGAGTTCTCAGTAACTAAACGAGTAAATTAAAAAAAAAACTGTTTAATGTTTTAATTTATACCAAATTATGTAATTCGTCGTTAATTATAGTGTATTGATTTACGTCTATGCTTAATGATGCACTTGAGGACTTGACGTTGACGTGTTTATGTTTAACACAATTAACGCTTTTGTCAGACAAACGACATACATGTTGAATACCATGTCTTTTTTATTTATGCAGTTGATTGCAGTTAGGTTCCTTGTTATTAACAAAATCGTTGTTATTAATTAATTTTATTAAAACTGGTGCCGAGTTTATTGACAATTATAAGACACTAAAAAACACTATTAGCCATTTTTTTCTATTAAAAAATAGACTCTATACCTTTATCGCCTTTTCAAAAAAGTGTTTTTTTATTCTATTCAAACATTTCCACTTCGAAAGATATTATTCGTTATTGTAGGCATGTATATGGTATTGAATGTATTAGATGGTTGTGTATAATTACCCACCAAAAATACCCTCTCATTAAGCTACTAAAAAACAATTTTTATTTTTTGTAAATGAGAATTTTAGTCTTTGTTCTGTGATCACAATGAAAATATGTATCCAAATAAATGTTCGATGACGCTCTTCACTTTATTACTTTTTGTATCATCACGATTAGTAATGGAAATCTTTTCCTCCACTCATTTACAGAGGGAAAAATACATTTTCCAATAGGTAGTGCACACAATATCCGTTCCAATTCAATTTTTCTATTACATTTTTTCCGAGTTCCACTTTTCTTATAAAAGTTATGAAATAACTTTGTGTTTAAATTCCGTCGGAGGCAGACAAATATACAACGGACGAATGAGTTTGATAAACGTAATAATTCTGATTTCTTTACCATGAAAAGTTAGATAAGTTAAGTACTTACCATTCACATCTTTAAATGTAATCTTGATTAACGATAAATTCAAAAACCATTTTCGTAAATCTGTTGTTAAGAAAATAGGTATTATATTTATTTTGTTTACCTATGATAATATGATAGAAATCGATTTGTATTTTTAAGAGATTGAATTTTTTTTTACATTTTGTAGCTTAGTTTTAACAAAACACTTTCATAAATGACAATATTTAATATATTTACGGGACAAACTCATAATAAAATAAACAAAGGCACATTTTATTTTAATTTTAAAAAATGAGTCCATTAAATAAACGCTTGAATCTTATTATTTTGTGTTATAATTTAGCTCTTTCAGCCATTATATAATGGGCTATTAAATATTAAACTGTTCTAAAAACAACAACGATAGCATATGCTGAAAAGATTTTGTATATAATTTAGTATGCGCATCGCCGACCTTTCGTATAATATTGCGACACCCTTGTGCACTATAAAGTCGAGGCAATTTATTTCTCATTTATTTTAACAACTAGGTACTATCCGTTTTATTTTGTACTTGTACGTAAAAATGTAACACGATTTTCGCTTGTCAATGCAGATGTCCACCGTTGTAATTGTTTGACGTTCAGATGACTGTTTTTATCTTCAAACAAGACCAGATCGATTTCAGATGTCTACTTCCTATGACCATTACGATAGTCAGTAAAAATATCCACGGATAAATTTTAAAGTAATAACTATAATGTCCACTGCAGGTATAAAAAATATAGACGGAAGAAAATATGGTGGAACACAAGAATTGCCGACCGAAAAAATTACTACAATTATTATTGAACAGCAATTTAATATACCTATATTTTGTTGAATAGTAGCATTCATTAAAATGAATAATCTCAAGTCACCCATAAGTTTTTTTTACATTGAAGGAATTTATTATTTAATAATATGGCTTTATGTTTTAAGAAAATTCATATCTATATACGTATAGACTATAGACGGTGAAAGTGTAGAATATATATATATATATATATAAATATATGAATTTCAGCATTTATCAGCGTCAAGATCAAATATTGTTGTAATATTATCGTTATTATAAACGACATAATTTACCATGCTGATTTTTAAGACACTTTGATTCAATGTAGATATAACCTATAAAACGTCTGCACGATTATTAGACTGTCGTGACTTATACATGGCAGTATACTCACACTTTTCAAGTTGTGTTTCAAATGTTTAATTTAAATATGGCTAAAATAATGTTGTCGAATAAAAATAAAAATAAATTATTATCGATGGTCACATCATATACGAATATTATTCGTTATAATATTAAATTTTAAATTCGTTGTCGTTGCTTGCAACGTGTTGTACTTATCTGTGAGGCAATCTTAAAAACTAACATTGACTACGTATTAAAATGGTTTTGTTTATTTTGTTTTTCATTATAAGTCGCGTCATTACATCATATATTTTACATAACGCGTATTAACATAAAATAAGACAACTCTTCTGTTTATAAATCTTATTGACCCATATATAAATATCAAATATAGCTAAAGTACCGATGTTCTATCCATGTTATCAGATAATATTTCTACGAATTATCGTTAATTACAAGTTTACAACCTTTACTCTAAGAATTCCGAGGATAAGTGTTTTTTTTTTAGAATTTTAAATCATCAATACAAGGAAAACATCGTAAAAATTACATAAATCTTTTATAACTCGCAAATGTAAGATTCAATTAGGTGCACAATATGTTTTTATTCGCTCCGGGGCTTATGGATTCAATTATTATTTAATTTTATTGTACCTATAAAGTATGAACCATGAATAATTTAAAATATTAACTGGTTGAATTATAGGAGACGCAATCAAATATTAAAATAAAACTGTATAATATCATATAACGACTACAATTTGTCACATAAAAAAATATAATTTAAATAACTATTATGTTTGTATGCAATTCAAAAATATTATAGACTAATTATTATTAGTTACTCATAAAGTGTTTAAATCCTAGTTCAGCGATTAACCAACATGGTTCGGATTTCTAAACAGTTTTCAATGTATGGGCACTTTTTGAAACTCGAAACCTTCGCATGCACTCAAAGTTGCGCAATGATATATCGAGAACAATTAAATTATTAAATTATTAGTATGTATTATATATTAAACTAAATAATATAAGATTCTGGTAAGAAAATAGCGAAATAAAAAGACATTTTTCTTAAAACACAATATTTATATATTTTTTGCATAATACGATTTATTATATTATATATTACACGCTTGTACGTCTGTGACGATTATAATATATAACCGCACATAAGACGGAGATGAAGTAATAAAAGAATAAAATATAGTATAATTATATAATATAATGTCATCGCCATCGACAACAATTCGCAATGACGAGATCATGGTAACATATCATTATTATGTATATTATACTTTATAGGTAAACGGACAGGAGAGCAGTAGAAGAACATTAATATACCCAATAACAGAAGTATAGTGTTGGCTTTTGGAAACCGCCTTTTAAACCATAAACATTGTTACAATGTTTATGCTTTAAACGTGTGGCAGATAATCATTTCGAGGGGTAGGTATAATGTATATTAGGTATAGGTATAAAATTGAGGATAAACCGGGCCGGGGTGGTCACTGCGTGCTCACCGTCTTACTGGTATTTTGGTTCAGGAGTGCTGGGCAGAGAAGCGAGGTATCTGAGTGACTCTTGGATCTCGAATGGGATTGCTGGTGGAGTGGGCAAGTGAGCGCCGTACGGCTGGTAACCGTTCTCGTCGGCGACGTAGCCGGTTTGGATGGTCTGGCCGTCTGGGGCCACGTAAGACACTGCTCCTTGGACAACTGAAACGGGTCCTTCTGGGCCAGCCTTCAAGTACCTGACTTCTTCTTGTTTGATTCCGTTATCGGTTTGGAAGCTGAAACGAATAAATAATGTGGTTAGGAACATGAAGTGTGCGGTTTTTTTAAATATTAAAATTATGATTATAATAATGATAAGGGTTTAAACGAAAAATTGTCTACTAATACGGTCCATAGTTGGCTGATGACTTTAAACATTGAAATCACTTGACAAATTCTACGTCCTATTACTTATGAGTAAACCATCCGATATGCGGTCTGACTTATGAGTAATGCAGTGATACGTTGTACAGAAAGCCACCGAATTAATTTGGGGTTTTGAGTTTTTTTTAATTTACAAACTGTTATTACGTTGTAAACGTCAGCTGCAATATTGATCCACCTACGAGAGATTTCGTTCGACATGTTCCCGCCGAGGGGAGAGGCTATACTCGACGAGATCGATAAGTGCGTATGTGCGAGACTAGCTTTCTTAAAAAATTCACCCAGAGTGTACGCAGTTTTTTAAGAAATTAATTTTGCGCATACTTGTTCTTCAATGATCCGTCGGCGCTGGGTGCTGAATCTTGGACCAAGATGACGGCTCTGGATTCCGGGCTCTGTCCAGCGGGGTAGGCGCTGACTGCGACGGCAGCTAACAGCAATGACGATACGACAAATGTGACCTGTGCAAAAGTGCGATACGAGTGAGCACGGTTATCCCGTCGGTACGGAAAAAAAATCGACTCTCTCGAAACTTCAAGCGACTCTTACCTGCATGTTGAAGGAGTTTTTGTTCTTCGTTTGTGTATGTCTGTAGTACTCGCTCTTCGGAGTGCGATGTGTTTGTGATTATGATTGTGGATACGTCTAGTATTTATATACGCACGAGCGAGAGTGAGTGTGAGTGTGAATCTTCACGCTGCACGAAGACACACACGGGGGATACCAGTTTTGTGTTTAGCATAATAATGGAGGCGGTGTCGTCCAGACAGAAAGGTCGCAGCCACATTACATTAATATTATTATTTAGGTATTATTATGTCAGCGTGTTACGAAAGCGGTCCGACGACATTTGTTGCGGCCAAACACGTTTTGTAGATCTTCGCCGAAATCGAAATCATAATCATTAATCATCTTCAGTACCTTATATCAGGACACTAGTCGACATAACGATCCGTGCCGAAATTATTTGTCTAAACTCATATAGGTAAACGCCGATCAGAGTAACATATTTCGCCGTGTATACTTCTACGAAATAATATGGGTCTGTATAATTATATGCAATATATTGTGTAAAAGTCGGACGACTTCCAAAAACACAGTTTTTTTAAGAAAAAAAAACAGCTACAAGGATACGCGAAACCGGTATTGGGCAATCACTGGCTCCCTTCGCTAATCTCGTGGCAAGCCGGTCGTAACATTATGATGATATTATTTGTTTGCGTGGTATCTGAAAAATATATATGACAAACGATTACATATTTTGAAGAATAATAAAACACGTGTTTGTGTAATGCCTAATAAATATTATCATCAGGGCCGTTAAATAATGTAATGTTTTTATTCAAATTTATGTAGTTCTTTGTTTCATGAGCTTTATTATTCCTCAATACTCGTAACAATATATAGACAACCATTGTAATAGCCTAAACGTAGATAATCTAAGCTAAATATGAAATAAATATCTTGTCATCATTTTTTATCGTTAACTTGCTGCGCATCAGACGGCGTTGCCCGAGGATAAATCAAATCGATGTGGACAATCCATCTCCGGCGGTGGATAGTAATAATAATAACATATTTTTCTTACATTAAACCAAAAATATCGTAAGCTGAAATAAACGAATGATTTTGTGTTTTATGATTTTCATATCATTATTAATGGATAGGAACCGGGAAAGCCACTCTAAAGCAACTGGTTGAATCTATTTCTGTGAACTTCAAGATAGGTCCAGTAATTTTTGTTTGATTTTCGAGCCTCAGCTATTCACTTTTTATTTTATGTGATATAATAGCTGTTACTCGTGGCTTCTATTTTCAAATACACGTATGACCCACCCATAACCCGAGTATTAATGAGTGTGCAACATTTCGTGGCAATTTGTCAAAAACTGTGAATTTGCATATTAGTCGTTTAGTCATATAAGATATAACCCGGCTAATGATGTATTAATATTAAATATTAATAGATGGATTGATTATAATAGGTAGTCGGTTAAGACAAATTTTGTCTTAGCCGACCATCTATTATAATCAATCCACCTGCTATTTATCGTTTCTGTAAATCTTAAGTTGAAAATTTTCAATTGCTTTTTTTTGTCGAAATCGGTACAGAGTTATGTTCAATATAATACAAACCTAGACCTAGTTCTATAATAGCCGTTACTCGATTTTATATTTATATACAAATAATTATTCTTTAGAATAAGCTTTATATTGACTTAAATGACAACTTATAATACAGTACAGATAATAATATACAATCATAATTACTATTGTATTATTTGTAACCAATGATGGAAACCCTATAAATAAACAAAAACATGTTCGATTTTTGTTAGCCGAAACAAAATTCATGTGTGAGCAGTCTTATAGTGACCCCAAATAAGGGTTGAAATACTACAAAGCTACACACACCCTCAGAGTATCAAGGAATCTATTGAAACAACTTTGATTGAAAACGGTACGGTAGTTGTTGAGTCAATGGAGGACAAACAATGAAACATTGATTTTCATATGTATACATCAGAGTCTGTTATGTTAAGCTACCTTCGGGGACACAACCGCCGTGATCGAATATAAGACCATAAACTAATTCACATATGAACAATTTGAGTTAACAATATATATTTTTAATTTGTATGATATAGTAACCTATACATAGGTTGTCTAAGTGTTATATAGAGTGCATGATTTTTTTTTAAATGTGTTCAATGTTCATATTATCGAAAAGTATTTAGAAAAATAAATTAATTTTTTCGCATAATTTAACGGCATTACAAAACAGTATGTTCAAAAAAAAAAAATTACAATCACTGTTTTCTATCGATATAAAATTGTAAAAACACACATTTTTTTAACATATTGTTTATAATGACTTTAAATACCTATTTTAAATGTGTAAAAAAAAAACGTATATTTCCAAACAAACGTTACGGTTTTTTGAGAAAATGAATTACTTTAGAAGAATCATTTTGTACGCATAAATATTATCTGAAGGTCATACTAAACATGATATTTGTATGCTAGTGAGATAATTGTAAATTTTGATAAGAATATGCTTTTACGTCTGTAAAGGATTTAATTTGAAATAGGTACAAAAATGCGCACAGAATAATTCGGTTTACGCAATTATTTCCTTTCGAAACGTTCAATAAGGCTTAATTCCACCCAGAATTTGATCGAGTCCCTTTGCTAGCGAGAATACGTTTTAATATATATTCTTTTAATTTCAGATATACCAATGGAAAAAAATGGACTTCCACAGGTTCCAACACCACGGGTAAGTTTATAAAACAATAAAGGCAACTTGGTTTGTTTAATAATTTTATTCTATTTTTGGAAAATAATTATACCTCCCGGCTCCCATAAATGTAATAATATGATATGTGAATCAAATACACGTACTGCTGAAATACGATTTGCAGTTTAATATTACAGAGGTAAAATAAACATTTAAATTACATTTTTATAATCCTAAAGTATTATAATTATGTAACCTTGATCGGTGATCGCATAATAAAACAAGGTCCGCACAATGACCGTGTATAATGGACGATGGGTGTAACATCTTCAATATTTTTTTTTGTTTAAGGCATAACGTATTAAATTATTATTATGTTGCCAATTTAGGTTTTAGTTTGCAATTTTTTATACATGTCTTATATACTTAATCAATATATCTGCGAATCGGCAAATTGTTACAATCGACGATAAATGTATATATTATACGACAACCCCGCCTCCACGCCATAACCTATACCAACGATTTAAGGCGGATTTGTATAATAGTACCTACAGGTGTATCAATTAAAAACTACTTTCAAATGCAATTTCATAAATAAACATTTATTATTCATAGCGACCAATCCTATCATCTAACACTAATCCGATGATGTATAATAGCTAGGTGCCTTCGTGTATAAATTGTATAAATAAGGAGCACAAAAAAAAGTTGTATAATCAAGGGCCACGAGTAAATCATATTAAAATAAAATTATTGTATTTCGTTCTCATATAATAAAATTCAAATAAGATTTAGACTTATTTGTACTATAGTAGGTACCGATAACCGAAATAATTACAAATTACAAATAAGCGTATTGAAAAAGATTTTAGTTTCACCAATAGTAACAAATAAAACGTTCTATTATTAAGAAAAAAATATCTAAATATGATTTTTAATTTAAAAATAGGGAAAGTGGGTAACTGCTCTGCTGTATAGTAGGTGTTTAGTGTAATGTATGTCTTAAACATGAATTCAATGATAATAAATACGAAAAACGATTCTGAGCGAAGACTTTCTGTTAGCCAATATTATTTGAGCATAATTAATGATATAAAATAATATGTTGTAATTTATTATACTTTTAGCATTACGATAGGTTGAATTAATTTGTTGGTTCCAGCATAAATTAATATGTAAGAACCTCATATTAAATGTCCAAGATTTAGTTATAATAATTGAGCATTCTATACATTTAAACTACAAAATTGAAAATAATTTTTCAAATTTCCGCGATTTCAGATATTTTAAAAAAAAATTGTGCAGACATATCTTTAATGATATATTTAAATATGTATGATAACTTATGAGAAACTTTCCATTGGATTTTCAATGGTATTGGTCTAGCGAAAAAATTTTTATCTATATTTATAGAAAAAACTAGACATTTCTAGTATCTATAGTTTTATGTTTTTAAATCACAACAAAATTTAAAAATCGATATTAGTAAAAAATAGTTTTGCTTAAAAATTGCCAGTTTTTCCTAATTATTTTTTTGATATTCCCGAATATTTTATGAAGTGCTTACTGAAAATTTTTTATTTTGACATTTCAAAAGTACCAACTTAACTTTCTTACCAGAAAATATATTGAAACTCGATAATCAAATAATATTTTCTACTGTAAATCGTGGACACGTAGACACCGTAGTACATAGGTGCCACACAAAATCACATTGTCGTGAAATCAATATACGTTCCGTTCAGAAACTAAAATATGAACTATAAACAAATATGAATGCTTTCAGTTTTGTTTTATATAGGTAGCTAGAATACTTTTATCCTTTGGAGTTTTTTTCAGTCTTATTTTATAAACAATAAACAAGTTTAGAATAAAAGTTTCTATAATTTTATTCAGATTTACACTTTATAAATAACGTTTTATACGCTTAATAAAAACAAAATCCGCTTTGTAGTAATTATATGATAACAATCTGTTTAAATTTGACGTTCTTTGAATAATTGAACCAATTATTTCATTACACTTGTGATTTGTTCTTGGGAAAATTTAACTTTAAACAGTTCAATTCACCGTCTACACAAAAAAAAACTTTTTAAACTTTTAATTCTGTAAGAGTTTAACAAATTAATATAATAATTGCTTTTGCTTTGTAATAAAATTGAATAATGTATAAAATATGTTGTACTCCGTTATTATCAGAGAGTGCATTTATTTTTTTTTTGAAAATATTTGAAAAGAAATTTGTTAGGTATGCAAGTAACTTTGTTTAAATTTAAAGCCAAAGTTTTGTTGTTTCGTATTTTTTTTTTTTCATTTATTATTTCCATTACATTATTCAAATCTCTTATGATTTCTACAAAACAATAAGCTTAAAATGAATATTTCATGGTAAATAATGTAAATAGTACAATAAAGTAAGTAAAATATTTGTTTGAACTTCAAACAAGTACATCAAATATTAAAATATTTTAATAATGTGCTTAAATTTATCTCGTACTCCTACATAGAGTGTATTATTATTATATACACTGATTTTTGAGAACGATGAGATTGGTGATAGTTGTTCTATAATTTTAGTTGTTTGAACTTCAAAAGACTTAAGTCTTAAAGATAGGTATACAAATTATGAAATCTATTCAGTAAATAAGATTCTCGACAAAAATGACTGAAATTTTAATTCCAAATAGTGATATTTAAATATTATAAAAAAACAAAATAAAAATACATGTGTACGTATAAGCATACAAACGACAAAAGTGAATAATTAAGTTAATATTTAATTTTGTTGGAATTAAATTAATAAAATCTTACTTGACTGGATGGTTATATCGATTGTCGAATAATGCTAACATTCAATAGTAAAGGGATAATAATTTAGAAAAACAATACCTAGTTAACTTTAAAAAACACATTATAATGAAATCTGAATATACAATTATTTTTCACTCAAACAGACAACTCTTATTCCAACAATACGTCCCAACGATTACCTCGATTTGCATTCTGACAAAATATTCAAATTTTTCACAACATATAGGAGGAAACGATCCTAGCACTTTTTCATAATATTGTATTCAGTTGATTAAATAAGTATTTATGTAAAAATTTAAAAAAATTGTTAAATGGTCGGTTGTTACCTATATTCAATCTTCAAATAATTATTTTTCTAGTAGGTACACAAATAATTATTTCTAGATTCTTGAATAGACAAAAATAATTGTTATTTGATCACCCACCGTTATAGTAATTTGATGACTGACAGTGACTATTATATAATGAAAATATGAAATTATAAAGATACATTTATTTTTCATGTTTATACTTGCTTTTTATGCTAAGTAAATAATAAATGGAAAATAATTCATGTAATTAAAATCATCAACATAAAACTTGAAAAAAATAACTAATTTATAATATCATGTCTGAAATATTATACATCAATATAAAATAGAATCATCTTATTGTAAAATCGTATAAATATGACGTCGGAATCAGGCAGTAGCGTAGTTATGGATCCATCTCCCCTAAACTTTTTAGATTCTGAGCGAAGTGATTATATGTATGTATGTTTATATATATATATATTGTAATGATTTTTTGTACTCCTTGTGTGCAGATCCTACTACTTTTTACAATTTTCAACTTTAAAGGTAAATGATAGAAAATGTTACCTAAATTATATATTTAAGAGGACAACATTTAAAACTCTCACAATTTTTGTGACGGGAATGTTTTGTGTTTTCCCATCACCAGTTTCTGAAAAACCCGGGTTTGTCTTTTCATAAAGCCTAAAAAATTAATAAGGGTAAACACTTACAATTTTTAACAATTGTTTGTCTTATAATTTTCTAAGCACAATCCATTTTTTTTTTAAATTTTGACTCATTTTGAGATGTTTATAGACAATTTTCTATACATTTTTTAGAAAAACTTCTTATTCAATATCAATAAAAAAAAAAACGATGGATCATAAGACTTGCAAATGTAATACAAAGTTTCTCATACGTTTTTATAATAATTTTAAAAATATTAAATATACATAGACACAGATTTTTTTATAAGCATTATAGTTGAACTACCAAAATCAAAGTTTTTCCAATCAATTTCTTATTATTAAAATGTCATTTTTTAAATTCTTTCTTGTTGCACATCTAGAGCATTAGATAGACCTCCATACCAAATTTCAATTTCAAATGTTTTGTCATTTTTCAGAAATAGTGATGAGTAAGTTTTATTTAGTTTTTATATAATTTAATATCGATTGTAAAAATGCATTTAAAATGTTCAACATCAATTATTTTAATGTGTATACTAAAAATTATAATCTCTAAATTCTAATAATGTGCTTTATGTTTATGTAAACAACCAACCACTTGGCTTTTATTTAAAAAAATCTCCATCTCCCCTCACCCAGAATTAAATCATAACTAATTCACTGGATTCAACAATAATAATAATAAATATTAATACACCTAAATATAGTATACTGTATATCTAATCCTAATGTATACCTGTTGTATCTCATATTAAAAAATAGTCAGAACTTTTATTTGTTGTGTTCTGTAGATTGTAGAATATCAACTAAATTAATTTTTGGTATTTTAAAAAGCATATACATATACATCTATGAAAGTATGTAATGATGTGTTAAAATAAATTGTTTTATTGTTTACTTCAAATTATTGTAGTAACACTATAATTAGTATAATATAATAAAAGTAGGCAGGTACCAGTATTGGTAATCAATCCAATCTTCAAATCAAAACTTGTAGTTAAGAATCCAAAATACAAATGATAAGAGTATTTAGTTAGCGATATTCAGAAATAACTTACAAACTAACATACAAATGCATATTTTTAATAATTATTAAAAATAAGTATGCAAAATCTCAACGTTTGTTTCTTAAATAAAATCTTATATTATGTTATATTTTTTTATCTCATGCTTTAGAAATATTTTGATATTTTAATTACTGTGAATAATCAGTAATCACAAATACTTAATAGTAAACTAAAATACACAATCGTTAAATTATGATATAATTAATTTTTAATTATTGGGATTATTAATGACACAGTTCCATTACTATTATAATTGTTATTGTTATTTATTATTGTAATTATTATTATTATTATTATTATTATTATTATTATTATTATTATTACGATGGTAAATAATTGTCCATATTATCACTTCACAATAACAACCATATCCAACTTTTTACAATGCGTAAGTTTGCTTACAGTATGAAGGTTTTTATTTTTATTGTTATTCATATATTATACAACATGCTATTATTTCAATAATATACAAATATTGAATTATATAATGTACTTCATATTTTATGAAGAAATAATGGCCAGGTCGTTATATCAAAAGTATAATGATCAACAAGAAAAATATAAAATATAATATTATACTAATTTGATATTATATTTTTTGCAGAATATTGATCGGGATGTTCAAGAGTTGGAAAAATTGAAAGATCCAGGTAATGAAATTAAAAAAGTTTGATGATAAAATCTTCAACTAATTTACTTTTTTGTTAGGAGCGCTGTCTGAATCAATTTCAATGACGAAAACACACGAGTCTTCTTACGTGAATGACAACGGAAAAGAGATAACTAATTCTAAAACAAAACAACAATGTTAGTAATAACTCAAATAACATACATTAGTTTGATATTGGTTATATTCTATGTTATGTATATAAAGCACAACAAGAAAAGGAAAAACAGATGGTTAGGTTTTTGATAAACAATATTGAGTTCGTTAGATGTTTTTGCAAAATAAAATTCATTTGCACCCCAGACATGCATCCGTGATACATGCATAAGATACACTTTAAAGGGTATATGCGATATACATACATATAACTATATAAGGAAATGTTTACGACCCCAGTGGGTACATGGTTTTCGCGAATGGATAATTATAAGCTGAACAACGAGTTAGAAATGTTCAGTATACACTCATTGTTAAATAGGATGTGTTCGTGGTAGACGCACATTTTCGAGGTGTCAGAAATTAAACTGTGAATATTATCCATTTGAAAAGCAAATGAAAAACCGTCCATAAGATACGGCAATAGTATGAAATGATGAGTGTTCCGTAAATGTACATTTTTTATAGATGCCTGTATCGTTGTAAGCATAAATAGATAATATATGCATACAAATGTATATGTTAATGTATTTATTTATGTATTTAAGCCTACACGGGTGCAACAAGTTAGGCTACATTTGAATTTTATTTTTATTTTTTTGATGACGGCTGCTTGTATGACGTTATACAGGGTGGTTCACCTCCGGTTTCTTTCCTTTAACAATGAATTCATTCAAATTATGATTTTTGGAATTTTTAAATATTATCAGACTGCATTAATTATAATTATTTTATTGTAGTACTTTGAGAGTGTCTTGTGGTGATACAAACCTATATTTTTCAAATGAGTGCCTTCTCCCATCTTTTTACTGTACATTTATTAAAATGGATAGTTTTTCTGAAAATTTTGAGGTATCTATACTTCATTCAGAATTTAAATGATTAGTTTCTGAGTTATTCTTATGTTTATATTAAAGATAAAAGTGCTTAAAAATATAAAATATGTGGAGTATTGGATCCAGTATTATTATGTTTATCCTATTTTAACGGATCCTTTATGTTTATGGATTAATATTTATATCTAAAATGTTCAAATGACCATAACCTCCATATCTTCCAAATCTATTAGCAGGTTACACAAAGTTAAATAACTGAAAAACTACTAGTTTGATTTATGTTTACACCAAAAGTTTCAAAAAAATATCCTCTAAATTATATTTAGGAGTAAAAAAGATTGAGAGAGATTTCATTTTAAAAACAGAAGTTAGTATAATCACAGGACACTAGTCCTTAAATAGTACGTAAAATCTCATGGATTTAAAAATACGGTCTGAAATTATATTTAAATATTCCGAAAACCAGATTTTTAATAGCTGTATTATTGGAGGAAAAAAGGAGACGAGTACTATTGTGCCTTGGTGATTCACCCTGTATACAAATAGCTGTTAAGAGGGACACGTATTTTAAAATTACAATAACGGATTGTATTATACTGTGGTACACCGTAGATTGTATTGACACGAGTTTTGTCGGTCGATTTAGTGATTAAAGACGACGAGTTGATGGCCAAACTGGAGCAAAAAATGTCATCGAGACACGATCACGAGACTGGTGGTCGGCCGAATACAAAAGTACAATTGTCGGTGGACATACCGAGCAAGGGCATACACAAACAGACGATGTACGCTTCGGACGGCGAACCGCCGAGGAAACGAGACGGCAAATACAGAGAATACGACAAAAAAAACTACGTAAGAGTCGTGAGAACTGTAAATTTCAGTTAGTTACCCAGTGTAATTACTCTATTCCCAGTCTCTTTCTACACTTCTATAATAATATAAGCATATCAAATTGTCTGGCAAAAATGAGTCAAATATATAGACGTTAGATGACTATTACTTCCAACGAGAACCCTTCGTTTGTCGTTTAACTATTATATCAATGTTCTCTATGGCTCTATGATGTTACATACTCTGTAATTTGTCATATGTAAATATATTTTCAAAGTGTTGTCACGCATGTTTGTTATTAAAATCAAATCAAATGAAAATAACAATAATAATATAGTCTCGTATCGAACAAGTGCGATAACTGCATGTTATTAGTAATGAAAAGAGCACCTGTATCGTATAAGAACCTGTTTTCCAAGACGTTTCGTCGAGTAAATATTATTAATTTGGGCACACTTTCGCAGGACACGCAGTTCCCTCCACCAGTGTCTTCTTATTTCAACGTGGAAGCGACACCCGAGGATATGGCGGAATACATTTTCTTCACAAAGGACTTCAAGTCGGTGACGCAGGCAATAGAGAAATTAATCCAGGATGGAAGGGTCAGTACAACAGTTGTTGCTATTATATTGTATACGTTTTGTTTAACGTTAATATCAAGTCATGTAATAATAATATGTTTCCTAATGAGTTTCAATAATAAAATATTTTTTATGACACGGCGCCATGGATAGGCTATTTAGGTACACCGTTGTCGCATATCCGCTTTCGATAGTTCATAATGAACTGTTATGGTTTGTTGAAAATATAAAATATGCAAAGTACGATACAACCGAAAACGTATACCTAGATAAGATTATAATATTAATGTAGGTATAGCTTATACTGAGATACTAGAAATAATTGCTAGTATATTAACTATTACTATTAGGCTTTGTTAATTCTTCCAAGGAATCGTTTTATTTATGCATAATATGCAATTGTTTATTGTCAAGCAATTGCATAAACATTACAATAAATATACCTATCTTAAATTTAATATTATAATAATGAAAAGTATTAAAAAAAACTAAAATTATCAAATAATTGAGTAGGAAAAATACATTAAAGTTTGCCGAAAGTTGGTTCTACATTGGCAATTTGCATTGCCCTCACAATGGTCAGCCTCTCGATGACATAACTATAGTGGTACATACAGGTACAGCAGAAGAATACGTTTGGTTTAGGAGAAACGGAAGTACAAAATTGTACTTTCTAATAAAAGCCAAGTTGGTTAGAACTCTGCTGTCACATATTGAGACAATTTTAGAAATAAAATAATAGTAAAATAATCAAGCTGAATGTGATTTATTTTTAATAAATGCCCAAAAAAGTACATGAATTTACACTCTAACGTCTAAACGCTCAACAAGATGACTATGATTACTATGATCTACTATGATTTATAAGATATGTAGATTCCGCAATACAGATGCATATTATAAATCAGAGCTTAAGTACTATATGGCATAGTATTACAAAGACTTATTAGGAGCAACTATAGTTCATAATGTATACTAAGCACAAACACGTCTAACATAACCATGAAGTTTTAATGCCTTACAACAAAATGCTTCTATATTATGTGAATAGAAGGTAATTTTGGTATCAAAAACAATGGCTATGTCATTAACCATGTTTCCTGCACAGTGCACGTGTTTCCGTGTTCCACTGATGTAATAATCAAAGTAATAGAAGAACAGGATCAGAAGATTGACATGGAATTGCATTTACAAACGTTGAGATAAAACCTAATGATTTTCGTAGTTGGCCGTACCACACTAACAAAATATCATAAGAACTGCCTAATTAGTTCTGTGAGCTTTAAATTACAATTTTTATCGTAAACATTTATCATTATATATTAAACATTAAAACACGTGAAATAATTAACTTTAAAAAAAAACTATATTGTCCAATATGGATAAAACAAAAATAATTAAATTTAAATTCAAATAATTAATTTACAGACAAGTTTTTCATTCATCTTATATACATTTTTGTAAACAAAATACTTCACCGATAGATGTGCCCTCAATATGTATAATTAACTATTTCCATAAAAGTATATGTGATCATAATAACGTATCTATATTGGAAATACAAATTTAAAGAAAACAATTTGAACTTGCTTCATGTATCTTACTCTTAACCAATAAATTATTCATTTATTATTGTTATTAAAACCAATATGATTTTTTTTCACTTTTATGTTTGACATGCAGGAGAAAAATACCATAAAACAAATAAAATATAAAAAATATAACAACAATATAAACATCCATTTTCTGTGTGGAGGCCAACAGTTACAATGTATTAACGTCACTGGATATATTTTAATCTTGAAAATTTTAAATTTATGTATATTTCAATTGAAACAGTAAATTAAATGAGGCTTAAAATAGTAGTCTGTAATTTAATTGTTTAGCCAACTTGACATTAAAACTCGATCAAATTTGGTAATTTAGTTACGTTTATTTGCAGTATAGTTGTGACGTCTAGTTGCAATTCGATCGATAGAATTTGTATAAAAACGTGTTCAAATATAGTTGTGTCGCTACTCACCCAGATAAGCCCGTTTTAGAAGATTGAAATAAAAATGTACCGTTCTATTGGTTTTAAAATAATTTAGGTTTAAAGAATTAACACTTTCTGGGGTGGTGAAACCCTTGTTGTTTAAAAAAAATACAAATTTCATGTTAAAAGAAATATAATATAAAGAACTGGCAAATACATATTTGAAGATAGTTTTTCACTTAAATACTTAATCCAAAGTTCTCAAGTCATAAATATCATTAGATATTATATTTGTTTGGGCCGAGAACGGAACAATAATAGCCCGTGTGTCCGGTTACCGTTTTAGCTTTGTGCACTGTACTCACACACCGACCAACCTGTGTAACATGACGTGTGTGTGTGTTTGTAGGCTTAAAACTAATGGTAGGAGGGTAACTCAAATAAATGGTAACAATTTTTCTGATACTTAGTTGATTTGTTGTATTATTATACAAATTTAAATCATACACAATATTATGTAAAGTATTAAGTAATATAAATCTATATAACCCTTCTGGCTCAACAAATAATAATAACTAGCTATTTGATCTAATTATAATATAATAATAAGTGATTATCGGCAGCTATTTGAGCTCCTATATAATAATGTGACAAGCTAATCGAGCTGCAGCTTAATAATAATTCTGACCCTTCTGACCCAACAATATAATATTATGTATAGTAAATTAAAACGAACATTTGCCTGTTTGAAACTACTAATTTTAAGATAATAATAATATAAGGTACTCACAATATGTATACGTGGAGACTGGTCAGTCGTTACAATCTCAATAATATTGAAAATAATACTAACACAGTATCTACACTGTATTGTTTAGGAATAACAGTCAAATAATAATAATAAAAAAAAAAACACTGCCGATTTGCGCCTGGCAATATAATAACGCGATATAATAACAATTTATGGTATAATAATTTATCGGCGATTTACGCCTAACAAAATGATAATATAACATGACACTGGTGATTGGTGTCTACGATTCACTTGTAATTTTATGACGATTAGAGCCCCACAATATTACACTACAGTATAATATACAGGGTGCAACAGATAGACCTGATCAAAAAAAAAAAATCCTAAAATTATATTTTGAAAAAAGTTATTACGTTCCAAATGAATTTAATCAAAAAAATATTGATATTTTAAAGAATTTTGAAAAAAAACTACGCTACTTAGATAAATGTTTTTACCGTCAAAATTTTTTTAATAATCAGATTCACAGATTGGCTATTTTGAACTTATCCAAAAAAAAATTTAGTTAAATTAAATTTTTTTTATATTCAATACTAAAATAAAAAAAAAATGTATTTTATACATGTAGCTCAAGTGACTATAAATTATACTAAACTTAAAAAAAAAATTCAAAATATTGACTACAAGAAAAGTTATTGTATTAGTTAGTTCTTTCTGTTACACTCAGTATAGTATACAAAAAAAAACGGCCATTTGCTCACGAAATAATAATTTGCTGTTCCCGTTGACGTAGACCGCGTGGACTGGACATCGCTTGTTCGGCCGAGCTAATCCTAGCGGACCGATCAAGGTGGCGGCCGATTGCGCTTAATTGCGCATCGTACGTAATCTACATAATATTATTATATGATTCGCAATGACGTATAATTAAATATAAACATAAAACAATACAAATATAATTGGTGTGTATGTGTGTGAGAGTGTGTGCCGATCGGCGGTAATTATTATTATTATAATTACTTCATTCCAATGTCTAGGAACTGTTTTGTCTTTAAAAAATTATTTTTTTCAAAAATGTATCATCAATTATCATACATTCGAGTGCCACTTGTTAAATGAATTATAGTCAAAGAAATTAGACGAAATTCTTGTTTGATCGTCGAGAGATCAGAAATATTTCTGCTATCGTAATAATAATATATATTCACTTTTGATATTAAGTGATACGGTTTGCGGTTGTATTAATTCTGTCACAGTTAATCGATAACGGCGAAAAGGGCTTCAATGAACATACTGTTAAATTTAAGTTAATTTATGCATAAAGACGAAATACTCAGTTAAATGAATTTAATAGTTAAAAGCATTATAATATTATATAATGTAATTATTGTTAGATCGTCTGTCGAGTTTTGAACAGACCGAATCCTTTCAACTACAATAGACAATTCAAATATTATTGTCTATTAAATGAGTAATTTAATTTATTGTGCTGAATCCGGTGTGTTGATTATGTATTAATAATCATTAATTAATTATAAGTGAATTCATAAACCGTACGCGTGTTAACACAGAAGAGTATGTTATATTAATTTATTAAATAATATAATATTGATAAGAATAAGAAGGAAAAACGAACTTTTCGTTGTTGAAAATTTCACCTTAAAATATATTAAATGGCTTGGAGGAAAAAAGAACTTATATACACTGGTACTATATGTACTACCTCCAGCGTAATAATACACCGTAAACCATTCATTTTTAAAAATAAAAATTTAATTTAATTTCTCATGAATGAGACGATGAAACATTGCCAGTGCCCAGTGGAAGTAAAAACTTTAATAATATTGCTTTTGAACAAGCGAAAAAAAATATACTTTCGCGAAATCGTGTACATGGGGAGGTATATAGTTCCTACGCTTTTTTCTTCTCATAATCGAATTCGACAGCAGTTTGTTCAGAGACTTTGTGTACACTTTGGGTACACAAAAGCGCGTGCACACACACACACACACACACACACACACACACAATTAAACAGCAGTTTGTTTTTAATTTTAATGAAAAATATAGGTATTAAGAATAAGAACGTATAGAATGTCGTACACGATAAATATTATAACGGTACTACCTACAGTAATACCAATAATTTATACATTTTCATTTTCGTTTTCCCGGCAGATCAACATAAGTCTTAATGCCAGCAAATTAGAATTATTTAACAATACAATGTTATATCTGAACATGTGACTCGCATTTCAAATGACACTTCAATTGACATAAATCTGAAATCCC